TGTAGAATGCCTTCTTCACCTCTGTCTTCCACACCAGTGATGGGTTTTGGGACTACAGAGCCCTGAGTTGGAAGACCATGACTGCAGCAACAATACACTCCCAGCCAACTCTGAAGCTCCACCAAGCTCAGCATTGCTAGCTGGTTGAGGGAAATGATTTTCCTGCTCTGCTCTGTGCTGGGGTAGCCTCACCTTGAGCACTGTTTGCAGGTTTGGGTGCCACAATATAAGAAAGCCATAAAACTGTTAGAGAGTATCCAAAGGAGGGCTATGAAGATGGTGAAGGGCAAGACATGTAAGGAGCAGCTGAAGTCTGCTCAGCCCAGAGCAGAGCAGGCTGAGGGGAGGCCTCATGGAGGCCCACAGCTTCCTCACAAGGGGAGCGGAGGGGCAGGCGCTGAGCTCTGCTCTCTGGGGACAGCAACAGGACCTGAGGGAACGGCATGGAGCTGGGACAGGGGAGGGTCAGGTTGGGTGTTAGGAAAAGGTTCTGCACCCAGAAGGTGGTCAGGCACTGGGACAGACTCCCCAGGACAGTGGTCATGACACAGAGCCTACTGTAGCTCAAGACGCATTTTCACAATGCTGTCAGAAATATAATCTGATTTTTGGGTGGTCGTGTGTGGAGCTAGGAGTTGGACTCAATGATCCTTGCAGGTCCCTTCTAACCCAGGATATTCTGTGATTCTATGAATGTTGCTCTTACCTCAAATGATTATGTGGAAGGTCACCCTTCCTATTTTTGTGTTATCAAAGTTTGCCAAGTGAAAAAGATGAGAACAAGAAAGCTGTGCTGAAAAAACAAATACAGAAACAAATACAGTGTTGCTAAGTGTCTAGAGGTAATTTACATATACGTGGGTATTAGGACTAACTCACAAATGTGCAATTGGCTATGAAAGCTCTCTCATCCTTTACCTTTTCATACCATTTAAATATATATATATATATACATGCATATATATATATATATTTTTTTTTTTTCCTTCCATACCAGAGGCTAGTGATTCTGGAATTCTCAATTATGAGACAGGAAATTAGTACTATGCCTTGCCTCCCAGAGCAAGCTCATACTGCAAATTGTCTTTAAAGTCACTTGGTCCCTTAACAAATTAAATTAATTATATTCATTTCAGGCCATGCATAGACAAGGTGTATATGCTCTGCTTGGAACTGCCCTTTTACTTTCAGAAAAACAGATGTGAAATTTAGATGATCATGTCTACACAGGAAGGTCAAACATGGGTCTTCTTCATGTGACACCTAATTTTGAATGGAAAATGTTATGCTATTTTATATGCTGACATCAGAGGTATTATTTTAGTTAATTCCCTTGAGCTGTAAAATTTGATTTCAGTACCTCTTACTGGCAGCAGAAATCAATTAAAAAGAAAATCTTGTACAATCATAACTGTGGGTTTTCTACACTGGAAATTTTTGCAGTAATTTAGCTGTTTCACGTTCTTAGTGTGGAAAGGATAGAGGGAAAGGGATGCATATTAATTTAACTTAGCCAGGACTAAAATCAGCATTGCTAACTGTGCCAAGTGAGTGTATTTAGATGATACATTCACTTGGCATCACTGCAGTAATGTCAGAGGAGGATAGAGCCATTATTGTTCATTTAGGAACACAGGTACACATATTCTTTATCATTTTATTCAGCCAACTGCTGATAAGTATCTTATTTAGAGAGCAAGAAGTAGTTTGGCTACTACTAGATAATGTTTAAAAGGAATCATGGTCATACAAGGCAAACATCTCTGGTGGGATTCATTTCATAGTATTACAATGTTTTAAGTTGGAAGGGACCTTAAAGATCATCTAGTTCCAAGCCCTCTGCTATGGCAGGGTAACAGAATGCTGCATGTATGTATTTTAGGATGTCATGTGTGTCCTCTGGGTGCTTCTCCAGAAGAGTGCAGGTCTCCTGTAAGCCTTGTGTCCTGTCTACAAGTCCTGCATAGACATCATGGATATGCTTCACAAATTGTGCTAGGTGCCCACATGTAGGTAAATGAATCCTTCTCCTAAGATGGGACTGATGTCCATATTGCAGAGACACTGAAGTGCCTGCCTTTGGGGTGGGCTCAGTGTCATCTAAACGTGTTTTAAAGACCTCCAGGTATGGTGACTCAACCAGTTCCCTAGGCAGCCCCAGAAGAACAAATAGTCTGCATTTTTGTAATGGAATAAAAACACATGGCATAAAATACTGTCAAGATACACTTTAAAGAGTGTTGGAGAAAAAAAAAAAAAAAAAGAGAAAGAAAAAAAAAAAGATCTGTGAATTTAATAAAACTGGAGTTGGCTGTTTTACACTTATAACAATATCATTGTTTCAAGTGTTTTTTTTCCCTTCAAGATCACTAACTTGAAGGTTACATCCACCAGTGTGCATCTGTGTAGCTAGCTACTGCTTACATAGCTGCTCATGGGTGTACCTGTAAATGGTTCCTTAAATTTTCAGGAACTGAAAAAGCATGGCAGACTGCCTTTTTTTGTTAGAATTACTAGTTGATGGGAGCAGTTACAGAGGTAACCTGACTGTAATTAGAAAGTTCTGACATAAAGTGGCTGCTAGAGAGTAATCTGAAAAATGTCTGCCAGTGATTTTATGACTATATACATCTGTAAGTATAAGTACAAACATAATACGTACAGTTGTGCTAGTTGTGCTAAGTATATTCTTGTTAAATATAGTTACAACTATAGTCTTAATAGTCTGGTAAGTATATTTGCTGTTATATTACTGTTTTTTAATCATAATTGTGAATAGTCTTATTCATAAGTCTGTTCACTGTCTTAGTACTTTTGATAAGTTTGTTGAACATATAATTATCCACAAACTCTATCTGCTGTTATATTACCTATTGTCCTCCCTGAAATTGCCTTTCTGCTACCTTTAATTGCTGCTGCTATTAACTGGTGCTATACCCTTAATATGTGTTACATACATGTATATACTTTCTCGCTGGTAGTATCTGTAATAGCTTATTTCTGTTTGGGTGTGTAGAAGGAGAGTGTCTGCTTCTTTAAGGGTATCTGGTCAAGGGCCTTTTTCCAAGGCAATGAAGGATAATAAGAAAGGGAGGCAGTGGTCGGGAGTAAGTCTGGTTAGTCACACTGACTTTTGAGCATGTGATGATCTTGAGGTCTCTTCCAGCCTAGAAATTCTGTGATTCTGTGAGAATGTAGGAATGTGTATTTAGATAGAGGCCTTCTAAGCTGGGAGATGATCACAAGGAACAAACCTCCCAGTCACACTAATTGGCAGGCTAACAAGCTTACAGGCGCCACTTCCAGGAAGGATGAACCTTGTGCCTCAGACTGTGGAGCAGGGGCCCAGCCTGGGAGGGTGCAGAATGGCAGAACTCTGCAGACCCATGGGGGGTGTGCAGGGGAAGACAGAGCTGGAGGAACAAAGAGTGGGGATAGGTAGAAAAGTGTACAAAAGAGCTGGTTGTGTGTAAAACAGAGCCAGTCAGCATGCTTGTTTGGCCAAGCTCTGTGGCTGAACACTGCAGCCTGTCCTATCTTTGGATTTTTTTTCTCATTAAAACTCTCTCTCTTTATTTGCACCCTCTCCCATGTGTTTGTGCTGCAGAGCAGGCCTGGGATCCAGGCAGGGTTGGTGGGAGGACAGGGGGGTTGTGCTGGTACTGGAAGGATCTGTGAATATGTGTGTGCTTGTGGACCTGGAGAGTGCTCTGTGTGTGTGACTGCACTAGTGAACTGTTATTTCTGCCAGCCAGAGAGGAGGAAGGGGTCTCAGTTGTATATGTCTGTTTCATGCGAGGCCTGTGTGACCTATCATGTCTGTGTACTGTCTCTGTCTGCACGTGTCTGTGTGTCTCTGGGATACGTGCTCAGCTTTTCTACCAGCTGAACCTGCAAAACAGAAAACAGCAGCCCGGGCTGGGCCCCAGCAGCCAGACAGGAGCAGTCCTGGGTTGGAGTGGCTGAAGGAGGCGGCTGCCCTCCTTGCTCTTCACCTCCCTTAACATTATCTGTATATATCTTTGCCTTATTAATCATAGTATTTTTGTTAGTGGTGATTTGTGTTGATCTGCAATAAACGGAATATTTTAACAAAGCCTCTGATCCTTGTGTATTACAGAATCCTAGGAACTCACTGTTGTGTTCTCTATATACCTGCAGACTGTGTAGCCCCCTCCACTTTTCTGGATGGTGATGCCAGTATAAATGAAAACCAAGGGGATTGTAATGAATTTTAAGCACTGTGTCTCTGATGAGAAAATAGCCCTTTGGGGTGTCATAAGACATGCAGGCCCATTTGTCAAAAAGTGCAGGAAAGTCACTGCTTTTTACTGCCAAGAAGTAGAGCTTTCCACAAAAGGCAAATTCCCATGGGTCAGTCAGAGAGAGGTCTAGTTGAGGGAAAAATCTCAGCCTGTGGATTCAAACTGCCTAGCATGAAGAGAGATAAATACATCAAGTACATTTTTCTCCCTAAATATTGTGACAAGCTTTATCATTTAGATGCCTTGGTCCTGACTTAGACATGTAGCTCTGAACAACAAGCTTAGAAAAAACAATCCTGTAGTATCAAAGAGAGAGTTTGGGGTCAAATCCTGCCCAGATATGCATTTCCAGAAGAGGCTTCATGGAGCCTGCCTTGATTTAGTGCAGTCTACAGAAACATCAAATAAAACTTCCACGCCAGTGTTTGGGCCAATATTTGGCCCAGTTTTGTGAGGAACCTTTAGTTTCTTCCTGTTATGTCACTACAGTCACAATTTTTCAGTATGCCCAAAGTGTGGGAACATGTGACTGGCTTGGGCAGTATCTGTTAAAAGGATGCACTTGAAACTAACTCCTTCCTGATGCCATGTTTTGACTTCTCCCGTGCTTTCCACCAACTTCTTTGATAATGTTAAACCAAGTCTCACCCTCACCATCTTGCAATTTCTTCTTTTCTTGTTTTTCAGCTTTGACCTTACATTGCAAAACTGACCTGTTTCCTGATTTATCCTCAGGTAAAATGGGTGGTATGAAAGCCTTTGTCTGCATATTCCCAAAGAAATGAAGATATGCGCAGATACAATCATCCTTTTGCCAGAGCTGAGAAGTATTAACACTAACAGTATGGGTAAGTGTTTAAATTCTGAAGAGCTGGGTCTGCTTATCAGGTGGTGTACTGCTTAACCATGGATCTCACACCTTTCTAGTGTCACACAAGTGCAAACAGAGGAATGTGAATGTGCCCCAAGAAAAACAGCAGAGCCAAATTTGATTATCGGCTATACACTATTAACAGCTCTCAACTCTTCCTGCTTGAGATCTTTAGTTTAATTAATTGCATGATCTGAGACAAAGCTTTTGGATAAATACACACTTATGAATATTACAGATAAGCAAGGAATTCTAAATGACATTTATCATTCCTTTCTTTTTGGAGTGTCATTAATTTGCATTTGCCTTTCTATTTTCACTTCCTTTTTTTTTTATTTGAATTTTTTTTTCTTTAATTGCAAAAAAGTGGACATGGTTAGAATAATAAAAAGACAAAGTTATTGCATTGATTTTCATCTTTTTTTTTTTTTTCTTTTTTTTTTTTTTAACATTGACATAATGACATTTCACAAGTAGAAGACTTGAATTACTCTACAACTTTTTTGAGTTTTATTTCTATTTATGTGTATGTTAAACCAATTCACTGCGAAACCGTAACTGCTGCAGCTTTGCGGGGTAGGAGGCCCCATGAACATTCAGGGGAAGGGCATGGAAGGAATTAAGTTTTAAAAGAGCCCAATCTCATACTCAGTTGTGAAAGTTTAGTGAACTGATGTTCAACTTATAATTCAGTCACAGAATGATCTTAACGCAAAGTTGTTCAATACACAACTGCATTTTGTCACGTAGCTTCTATTATGAGTTGCTAGGAGCATTAAGAACTCTGGTTGTGTGCCTACGTATCTCCAAGAGAAATGGCAATGGAGGGTCCCTTCTCTGTGCCCTCCCCTCAGAGCAGGGCACAGGTGACCTGAGGGGCCAGTCACTCCAGCCAGAAAGTGACTCTGATTTACTCTGATTTACTCTGATACTCTCCTGATTTAGGCTTTGCAAATCTCCAGCTCAGTGTATTCAGGACATCCTGCCTCTTTGCAGTTCTTGGTGCTTCTCAGCTCTTACCTGACAACTTTTGATTGTTGGCTACCTCCCACATGTCTCCCACACATGCCTTTGCCCTGGTGGAGGTCACACTGCTCCCATCCTCAGGCAAAAGACTTCCGAAATTGTGCCTGGATATGACATCCCATTACATTACATATCTATGCCAGGATCAGTCCCATCACTGGGGCATGCTCGTTTTTGAATTGGAGGCCAACACACAGGAATTTGGTGGAGATTAGTGTGTGGGTAATGACAAGGTGTGCCAGGTCCCTCTGCCTGCTTGCCTGCTGCACCATCTAGGGCTCTGCTAACCCTTGAACCCAATGAGGGATGTTCAAAGCCCTCTGAGAGCGGATGTGCTACTAGGCAGTTCTGAAGAGGAAGAAGGTCCCTGTGTCCTGCTGGAGGTTTCACCTGGAGTTTGAGCTATATAGAAGAGGGAAAGGGGTGGTAGTCAATGGCTTCTGCTGGCACAGTGACTGCAGTGTTTTATGCAGGATGGTGGGAACATTTCTTGAAAGGAAAGGAAAGGAAAGGAAAGGAAAGGAAAGGAAAGGAAAGGAAAGGAAAGGAAAGGAAAGGAAAGGAAAGGAAAGGAAAGGAAAGGAAAGGAAAGGAAAGGAAAGGAAAGGAAGGAAAGGAAACGGCAAGGCCCGGACCGGTACCTGCCTTCCCGTATCCCTACCGGAAAGGAAAGGAAAGGAAAGGAAATATGAATTATTCCTTGCATTATTATTACTATTATTACTATTGTTATTATTAAAGAAAAAAAGAATTTGTTATTATCCTATAAAGACATGTTAGTGTGAAGAAGTCATTCAGTGTTAAATGAGATTGTCTTTGTTTCTATACTTTTGCTAATGGTAGGCAGTGTCATGTAGCCAGTGTCACGTAGCCATGGAACCTTCTATGTCTGTCTTTGATTTTCTGTTATGGTCCACTAACTGCTTCATTTCGCATAGTTCATATCTTTTTGTTACATAGAAGGCTATCTACTGAAAAAACAAGATCTTCAAATGTAAGACTTCTACTGTCAAGAAAGAGTAGATTCATTTCAGGAACTATGGTATAAGACTATGGCATTATGAGAAATGCTGACTTTGACATCTGTAAAGGCAAAGCTGAATGTTTACATCACTTAGGTGCCTTTTCTTCTAGGTGCTACTCTTCCTCTAATCTCAGGAGCAGCAGAAGTACATCCCTGTTTCTCTGAATGTAGACTGTAATATAGCAGAAAAAAAACCATGTACTTTCTGAGATAATTGTGAAAAGAGACAAAGAAGATTTTTCCAGTATTTTCAAATAAGCCAGAATGCAACAAATGACTCCGTGCCTGCAAGGATAAATTTGATGTTATACTTTGTTATCTAACATTGGCCACAGACTTAAACAATGAAATAAGATGGCACTGTAATGAAACTTCACTAGTCTCCTTGAAGCCACAGAAGAACTGCGACTATTAAATGAATTGCAAGGGAGAGAGAAAAATTATCTCTGGACAGACATTTGTATATTAGGTGGTGATTTTTCTACAGATGCAGTAATTACAATTTTAATTCATGCATGAAGAAAAGGAGGGAGCACAGATTACTTCTGTCAAAATAGTTCTGAATACTGTGAAGCTGTTAATGAGTTATGTTCCCTTGGAGGAAATGTTAACATGTCTTTTTCTTTAGAGTTATTTTGCTCTACTCCCTTGTTATCTTGTAGAAAATGTTGATTGTCATTCAAGTTTCAAAATAAGAATATAATGAGTATGTAGGATTTCAGAAAGAAAACACAAAACGAAAGACAAGCAAAGCCTTTTAGCTGAAAGTATTTTTTTTTTTTCATTCTTCAAAAGTTGTTCTGAAAAGTATCTGTAAAACTGCGCTTATCTTGCCACATACCTTAATCACAAGATAATGAACTATGCTGAGTGGTGACATGCATCAGTAGCTCCATTATAACCTTATAATGCAATGCTGTTAATGCATTTTGCTGCAGTGCAGAACATTACTCCTAATGGAAATAACGTCATGTAACAGAGATTTGTTGTGTTGTCTATCCCAGGTTTTGCTAGAGCACTTGAGCACTTAATAGACTGACAGAATACTTGGGTGTGTGATAGAATCAAGAGTTCACAACCAAACAAAGGATAGGAGAACTAGGGGAAATGCTCACTATTTTGTGACAATTTACTCCAAATAGAATGACATTAAAGATCTGAACGACTTTCCTGGAGAATTATGAGAAAGTCATTTGTTAGAAATGGAAAAAACATCTAGTATTTTAGTAAGAATCAAAAAGAACTGAAGAGCATGAAATTACTTTCTTGTCTAATAAGACATTTATGTATTTTCTTCCTTCTTTTATTAAATATGTTCTACAGAATCATACATCAACATATTTTGAGAGCCAAAGAAAAAGGCTCTTGGGATTTTGCTACACTGATTGAGAAGGTGATGTTAGTAATTTCTATAACAGGGTCTGTTCCCAATAAGAAGACACCCAGTGCATGAAAACCCTGCCCTAGTCCTTTCCAGTGACAGTGCCATGTTGATCCAGCATCAACATGTAAGATATGTAATACAAGATTAACTCATTGTTGGTGCTACAGGATGATCAAAGTGAGAATATCTGTATTGATTGCTGTTTCCTGTTAATAACAAACTACATGGGATGTTCAACATTGGTTATGACTCAACAGTACCAATGCAGATACAATGCATGAGCTTCCCCATTACTTTGAGGTATCAGATATTCATCAGTCTGGGTTAGAAAAAATAATATTTTCCATCTTACATTATTGCACACTTATGTTTAATGCAATTAATATTTATTTATTTTTTTTTATGACTGGAAATAGAACACTGGGTGAGCTGTCCTGTTATGTATTAATTTCTGTATTATTGTGTTAGAAGAGGAAAAGCTGATTTTTATTTTACTCCTGTATTTTCTCTATTACAGTCATAATGTTTGTTTTTATTTTTATTTTTAGTTGATCCAACATGATTACAAATGTAGGGAATTACTTGGTCCTGGTTTCCCAGCAGTACTCAGAACTAGCATTATATTATAGACCCTAAAGTGAGCCTATAGTGGATTATTTGAAGTTCTCTATGACAATGAGCTCTAGATGTCTTCAGCTTGTTTATTTTTCAGAATTAAACCAGTGTTTTACTGGCATTTTTAAGATCTATGCCTTAGAATTTTTCCCCTAAGGAAATTAATACTTCAAATGAAAGTAAACAGAACATTTTACTGTGTTCCAGTTTCACTTAGTAACAAAAGTGCTGATTCCACTTGAATCAACAAGCAACTAATGAAAATAAACCGATTATCAGAAAATACCATCTTTAAAAGACATCAGAATATAATGCCCGAAGATTTGAAGTAACAGTGATTGTAAATTGGAATTCCCTGGACTGCTACTATAGAAATTATGTTAATTTTTAAAATAAGGGCAGACCATGAATTGACCTAGAAAAGACTGAATATATATTACATTTTGCTTTTGATCATTTATTCAAGAAAAAACAGCTATTCAGATAAGAATGAAGAATCATTTAGAAATCCAAGCAGAATTTTGTGTTTGATTGTTGCTAAGTAAAGAAGGGGAAATATACATTAAAGAGTGCTATAATTATACATTTTGCATAGCTCTTCTAAAACCACTTGCACCATTTTAAGGCAATGTGTAACATAAAGCTGATTCCTTTGCAGTTCCCGCTTCCAATTTACTTGCATGTTACTGAAATTGCTTTTATTTCTTTCACATGAATTTCTTTTTATAAACAGACATGGGACTCTGCAGATTGAATTACTCTCACTAACTATAAAGTTGGCACAATGTACACTTCAACATTGCTTATCTGAAAGACATCTCATCCAAAGACATTCAGCCTGAAGAAATCTCTGCGTGAATGTACTGCAGATCCTGAAAACTCCCCTCCACCAAGCTCCAAAGATTGTTAGTTGTAATAAAATTAATCA